ACGGAGTAGAAGGAAACTTATGTAATGCGTCGCAAAAAACGGCGATTTTTCGTCAGAAGAACTCTTTCTACATAGCCCTGGAAACGGAAAAGGGGATCAATCCAGTTGCTAAATTTAGAAAAAAAATCTCTAACATGTGGTGTGGTCAGATTCCAAGCTTTTGGTCCTTCGTTCGGAAAAATCGAATGAGGACATTTTAGTCAGTCAGTCTGTCCGTCCGTCCATCTGTTAACAACGCTAGCAGTAGAACCGCTCAGTCGATTGTCTCCAAAACTGATATTTCCCAATCGATCTGTGGGTCCCTTGAATTTGAAGTCGATATTTTAATTTTTGGGGGACTACATAAAGTCGTTGGACATTTTCCAAATTTTCAAGAAAATGGTTCAATGGTTTTTGATTAAACGTTGTAGTTTGTTTGTGTGAAAGACGTTTAAGAGAGTAATGAAGGTTTCATGTTCGTTGAAAGATCTGATTTTTTCGTAAATTGCAGAAATTCAAAACGTGTTCGTCGTTTTCCTACAGCTACAATCATGTAGTTAGAGATTTTTCCTTTACTGAAATCTGTTTCCTTAAGAAATATTTTTAAATTGGGTCATGAACAATTTTTCGAAACTTTGAGTACTTTTCGCTACCTTTGCGTGACAATTCCGCCCGAGAAAGCACGTGCTGTGTCAGCACCGTGCAGTGTGAACGGCTCCGTCGTCTGCAGCGGAGGTACAGCGCCCTCGCATACTCCCTGCGGCGCACGGAAGGGACGCGAGGGTAGAGGCAGCATTCAGCGCTGCGGCTCCTGAAGGTTACGAGACGTCTACGGACAGAAGGCAGTCGGCCGTGGGCCCAGCAGTCAGTTTCACTGGACAAGGCGCATTTTTAAAATTAAATTATCCCCTCCTCAGCACATCTGAGTATTTGTGACTTATTGTATGCTTTGCGCGTGCACTTGTGCCACAGCTTTGTGGTAGTCAGTACGTACAAGAGCGGGCTTTTCTAAATAAACAAAATTAATTATAGCATAAAATACCATAAACCTAAATAGACCAATATTAAAAAGAATATTATTTCATTTTTTAAATTAATACAAATTAGTTTCTTATATTTTGACTGTCGTATTATCAAATATATTTATAATCTGTTGGTGTTACAACAGCACACACTTTTTTTCGTCACTTTTATAACTTTTGAAATTTTCGAAAATTCAGATAATTCAACGGAAACGAAATCTGCGCTACTTTTTAAGGCTGAATGTCCCGACAAATTTGAGAGCGGAAATTGAGTAGTTCGTAGCCAATGGTAGGGAATTTACGTAACCATTATCATGTGAAAAAATAATTCGATTTGAGGTCTGTAAACGTCATTTGACTAGTTTTCAATGTAGAATTTTCGCTGTGATGCCCTCTTAAAAAATAATGCTGAAACTAGAACTCATTTTACAAGTTTCTTTTCCCATTTACGGGGGAAATTAGAAAGAGGGCTTATACCGGGATGGCTGTACCCTTCCTGCAGCCAACGCATTGTCAGCCGCCCGAAGCGGATGACTGGAAGCGTCGGGAAGCGAAATTTGGCAAACG